CCGGCTACTTGGAAGGCTGAGGCGGAAGGATCACCGGAGCCCAGCAGGGTGAGGCTGCGGTGGCCAGGAGCGTGCCACTGTACTCCAGCCTGGGTGCCAGAGTGAGACTCCAACTCAAAAACATAAAAATAAAAAAAATAAAAGTTAGGGCAACACAATTGTGTGCTTTATAGAAATCTGTGGTTTACGGCTGGGTACAGTGGCTCATGCCTGTAATCCCAGCACTTTGAGAGGCTGAGGTGGGAGGATTGCTTGAGCCCAGGAGTTTGAGACCAGCCTGAGCAACATAGCAAAACCTTGTTTCTACAAAAAAAAAAAAATTAGCTGGGCATGGTGGTGTACACCTGTAGTCCCAGCTACTGAGGAGCTAAGGCAAAAGGATCACCTGTGCCCAGAAGGTCAAGGCTGTGGTGAGCTGTGATTATGCCACTGTATTCCAGCTTGAGTAACAGAGTGAGACTCCAACTCAAAAATTTTTTTCTAAATCACTGGTTTGCTTCTTAGACACACATAGCTCCTCGAAGCCAGTGGCCAGGCTCATTTGCTCATGTCCTATAAGCTCTCCTCAGGGCCTGGCATCCTGTAGGTCCCTCTGGGCCTCAGTGAACGCCAGCTGGCTTCTCAACTCCTCTCAACCCCTTTCAGGACCCCTCCCCTATGTGCTTTCCCCTCAGCACTGCCTACCCTCACCCAGCCGGATCTTTGCACCAGACTCTTTCCAGGATTCCCCCACCCCCTAGACCCAAGACAATGCAAAGTCCCTGGTCTCAGCCCCTAGAACCTCCTCCAACCCCCATAACTGAAGCCTGGACCCAAGCTCTCCTCCCACGGTCAGCCTAGGCTCAGTGCTTCCTCAGTCATCTCCTCAGTCTCTTTAAGTGCCCTCTGGCCACCCTCCTGCCTGGCCTCAACAGCCCCCATTAGCTGCTCACAAGTCTTCTGGGAGGCCCAGATGTGTGACTTCCCGGCCCACAGGTCAGACCACCACAATCTATGCGAGCGTCTGGGTGGCTATGTCTGCCCTGGATCTGTCGGCAGGCATCACAGTTGTCCAATCTAGGCCATGTGCTGCCCCAGGGCCGGGATGGGTGGCCCCCTCCTCCCCTCCCCCAGCCAGGCCTCGCTGTCACCCCAGGCAAGAACGGCTCAGTAGTCAGGAGACCAGACTCAGAGGGCCAGGGGCCTGATTTTCAAAGAGGCAGCAGAGCCCAGGCTGGGCCTGACTCTACTACGAGCCACCAGCCTCTGGCTGGATCCCGGCTCCAGGGACTGTCTCCCTGCCTCTGCACTGCTGCCTCTGCACTGCTGCCTCAGGACTGTGTACTCTGACCAGTGAGGGCCAGCCTCTGTGAGATTCCAAGCAGCCTGGGGGTTGGGGGCTCCGACCCTTACTAGCAGTTGGTTCTCAGGCTCAGGGCAGGGGGCACCAACACATGAGTGTTTGGTCAAGGATGTCCTGTCCCCCTCCGGACTCCATCTCCCCATCTGTCCAGGGCCCGGTGCTCTTTTCCCGGTAATAACCCAGTATTGCCTTCTTGTGCCCCTTGGGCATCTAAACATATTGTGTTCCCTCCCTTTTAGCCAAACCTCAGACCAACTTTCCCATAAACTCATGCACAGTAGGGGTGCGAGAGAGAAGGTGGCTGGATTTCATCAAAGGACAAAGAAATGAGTCTTACTTGTATACCTAAATCTGAATTGTACCCCACATCTTTAAAATAAATTAATAAAATAAATAAATAAAAAGAATTGAGTCCTTGAATTTTTCTTAATTTGGCACGTTTCCCTTATAAGGCAGTACTTGCTTCATAAAGAACATTTTAAACCTAGATATGAAGGGGTAAAAAGCAGAGATGTTTCATGAAGCACTTTCAGCCAGGTTAGGTAAATACCCCTGGGCCACAGCCCTTTCAAGAATCCTTGAAGTCATACAGATCTCTGCCCTTTGGGACCCCCAGCTGTCAGAGGCTAGTGGTAGGGACAGGAGTCAGGTAGAGGTAGGGGAGCTCCCTCAAGGAAACAAAGGGGTTTCTCACCCATGGTAGTGGGGAAGTAATACAACACACACACCCTTCAAATGGGAACACTTCTAGGAATTTACTTCCAGTCAGTTGGGCAAACCCATGATGCACAAGGTTATTTATGGCAGCACTGCTGCAAACAGAAGTGGCTGGAAACAATCCAAGTGCCCATCCACAGGGCACTGTTTCTATAAGTTACAGTGCAGGCCACGGACCTTGGTCCTGAATAGAGCCTTTTGCAAAGCATATCACTAAAGTAAGCCAAGCAAAGTGCAGGACAGTGTGCCCGGAGGGAAAACATATGTAGGAAGTATTTTTGGAAGTCCACAAAGGAAACTGGTAATGGTGATTGCCTTTGTGGACCTGGATGGCCAGGGGATACATGGGAGGAAGGTGGCTCACCGTAGGCCCTTTGTGCTCTTTTACTTTTGTCTCATGTGCATGAATTGCATTTTTTTTTTTGAGTCAGTGTCTCACTCTGTCACCCATGCTGGAGTGCGGTGACATGATTTCCGCTCACTGCAGCCTCAACCTTCTGGGCTCAAGTGATCCTTCTGTCTCAGCCTCCCTAGGAGCTGGAACTATAGGCGTGCACCACTACACCCTGCTATTTTGTTCATTTATTGTAGAGATGAGGTCTCACTATGTTGCCCAGGCTGGTCTCGAACTCCTGGGCTCAGACAATCCTCTTGCCTCAGCCTCCTAAAGTGCTGGGATTACAGGTGTGAGTCACCATGCCCAGGCCAAATTGCATACTTTTAGAAACAATCCAGCCTGTGTCAGGGGAAAGCTGAGGGAGCTGGGAGCCAAGATGGAGGGTGTACTGAGAAGCCAGCATGAAAGGAGGGGACAGTGCAGCCAAGACCTGGCATGTCAGGCTCAAATGCCTGATAGCCGAGACCATGCTCTACCGTGTCCCGACAAGGAAGCCAGGCCCAGGGTGGCTGGTACTTGCTGGGGCCCACCCTGGTGTTGGCAAGTAGCAGACCTCAACTCCAGCTGAGGTAGCATGTGTAGCGGAAAAGCTCCAACCTTGGGGTCCCTCTTGTGCTACCAGCCTGCTGTATGACTACAGGCAATTCACACCGCCTCTCTGGGCCTTGCTGTGAAACCAGAATGATATGATCTGACTCAAGGATTAGACGAGATGGTGCGTGTCCAGCCATAGCCGACTCCAGGCCCTCCCCATTCCAGCCACAGACTGGAATCATACAGGGGTGGGTTTAGGAAGATGGGTGGGCAGGTTCAGGGAGAGGAGGCCGGGAGGCTACCTGTGAGATCATCCCACCCTGCCCCTGCCTTCTCCAAACTGGCTTTACACCCCCACCTCAGAGCAGGCAGAAGGCTCCAACTGGACAAATGCCATGTCCATCCTGAGGGTAGTCGGTACTTGTGGTCACTTGAGAAGCTGCATCTCTCCGCGAGAAAGGGATGTGGCTGGCGACTGATGCTCCCTGTGGGTAAGCGCCATACACCCATGGCCTTCCTCAACCCTTTGAAGGGGTATGAGGCCCATCTGACGTCTCTTGCCAGGGGCTGCAAGGCTGTCTGGGCCCTGAAGCCCCTTTGATGTTCATACTGACAGTGGCGTTTGTTGAGAGCATACTGTTCACATGTCTTTACCCCTCCAATCCTCACAGTAACCCTACCAGACAGGTTCTGTTGTCACCCCCACATTGTAGCCAAGAGCTCAGGGGCTCAGGGACAGGACTGGGACAGAGCCTGTTCAGGTGCTCCGGGGAGAAAGTGAGCCAGGGCATAACAACGCACCCACCTTCTATTCTCACTTAAGGTTACAACAGTGATGCTGATGGCCGCAGGCACCAAGGGCTGACTTCATTCCACCTGCCGTGCAGAGCATGTGGGTTAGCTCACTTAATATCACAGTGGCCATGTGAGGTAGGAATTATGATCACCCTGTTTTATAAGGGAAACTGAGTCACAAAGCAGCAAAGTAACCTGCCAAAGGTTGCCCAGTGTGATGGTTAAGTTTAGGTGTCAGCTTGACTGGATGAAGGGATACCCAGAGAACCGGTAAAGCATTATTTCTGGTGAGTCTGTGAGGGTGTTTTCAGAAGAGATTGGCATTTGATCAGTGGATGGAAGAAGGAAAACCTGCCCTCACCCAGTGGGGGCGGCATCACCCAATCTGCTGAGGGCCCGAATAGAACAGAAAGGCACAAGGAAGGCAAACTCACTCTTTCTCACTCCTGGATCTGGGACCCCTTCTTCTCCTTCCCTTGGACATCAGAACTCCAGGTTCTCTGGTCTTTGGACTCAAGGACTTGCACCAGCGTCCTCCCCCCCCCCCCCCGCC